TATTTTTATGATATCCTACTTTATGACACATGACTTTCTAACACTTGACATATTACTTATAAATTATTTATTTTATTTACTATATTTATTTATTATACCAATTATTTCACTTTTTTAATAGCTTATATAGCTAATTAAATATATATAATTCCGTGTTTAAGGAGTTGTGTATAGACAATTTACTCAACAATTTTGGAAAAATTAAATTTTATCAATTCAGAAATATTCAAGCTTCCTTTCAAAGACATTTACAAGAAGTGCCACAGGGCTCAATTTTGTTGGAAGCAAAATTGCAAATATAGTAAATTTTAAGACGTTGCGAAACAAAACGTACTACTTCACTACGGTGTTTGGAAGGGGAAGCAAATAACCCCGTGGCCCTCCCTGGATCCACCACCATAGTGACGTGCCGTTATCAAAAGTAAATACTTATTATGTAATCACGAAGATTATCAAAAATTTTTACAGAAAACCGTTTCGCGTGGGTAAAAACAACTCAACTTTAGATCTGGAACTCGAATTGAACTTAATTAAGAAACCAAATATAAAAAACATAAAACAAAAAGAACTTTCACTGTGCAGTGTTCGTTTTAGTTATTCAATATCACCATTATAAATAACGTTATTCGGGTTTGAATAACTATAAATCAAAACAGTGACAAAGTCAAGTCTGCTTCACTGCAAATTCGAATCTGTTTTCTTATCGCTTCGCTAGGACAATTAAGTACGGTACGTTGGAATAAAAACGCGTCTAAATTCCTATATCGCGCGTGTGGTAGACAAAGACGGAAACCTCAACGCTTCCAATATTGTTATAATAGCTATTATACATAGCGCCTAAAATAAATTTAGTTATGCAATATGCTTACACTTATTGGTGTATTAAGATACTACAGGACCGGCACACCGATTGCAATCTGTGTCATACACGTTCGAACGTGATGTGGGGTACGACGAAATACAATAGGACTTCATATCAGCGTTGATTTTGGATCTGTAGATACATACTAAATTTAAATGCCCCTTCCCACGATTTTTGACTATATCTAGTGTGAACATCACGAGCCCCTACTGCAGTATGATAGAGTCCGATAAAAGATATAAAGTCAGCAGCTATATTATATAAAGACGCCAAACTGTAACGAATAACTTATGAATTGCTTGATTATGCCATGAATTAATATGTGCAATAATACAAAAAAAAAATTGCAATCAATTTCAAACATTTTTTATAATATCATATATTTTTCATTAAACGTAAACAAATATCATTCGAATACAATTAACCCTTTTTATCTATGGCGTTTACAATGAACTGTATTATTATTTAGTACTATGTTATATATATATATATATATATGTGTGTGTATGTGTGTGTGTGTGTGTATAAACAAGTCATTTAAAACGTATTTTTTTTCTATCGTTTAACTTAAAAATTCGTGACAAGTCGGTCGGTTTGGTTTGTCAAGTTAAAAAAGTAATACGATACGAATCCGGTGAACAATCGTTAATAGCATTTTGCGGACCATTGTCGACAACTACTGTCGCGTTCTAGACATTTTTATATTTTTCTTACAATATATTGTTAACTGAACTCGAATAGTAATAAGATTTTTGTTTTTCCTCGAATTGCAGACATTCCCGATCTTTACACGAGTTTGAACATCCAGGGTTTACCCAGTATTCCGTTGACATTAGTTCTATACAGTTATCAGCGTTGAGAAATCACAGAGTTTGAATATATAACGCTATATTTTGCATTACCGTACTTTTTATTTGAAATGTAAAAATAAATTTGCAAATGTGATTATTATTATAAAATGTGCAGTCACATGATCGCATCGTTTACAGTTATAATACTATCAGAAAGAAAAAAAAAATGATTTTTATATTTTAGTTATTAATTCTCTTTTTCTGAAATTCTTTATTTTTCGATTCGTTTTGTTAAAAAATAGTCTGTTTATAATACAATAATTATTTCGATTTTTAAGAATATTATAAATTGTTGAACAACCAGTCAGATATTATTGGTTATCGTCTCTTCAGATTTTTGAAAATAATTGGATAACATCGTAACTCGTAAGAGTCATGGTTTTAGATGAAGAAACTCCAACATTTCATTGTATGGACATTTTAAAGTTTAGTTACTATTATAATACCATGTAACTTGTTGAAACAAAAAAAAAAAACTAAATTATTTAAAACTGTTTAAATAATAAACTCGACTCGTATTAATGACGGAATTTCGTTGTTTCGTCAATTGTATTGTACGAAGTATATAAAAGTGCTCGACGTCTCGTTGGGCTCAAAAATTATTTATATTTTTAAAAAAAAATACCTAACATGTACAAAAACACGGAAAATTATTAAGAAATGCTTAAGGTTTAAAAACTTTTTTAAATTTATTATTGATTTGCGTTTTAAAGAAAACTATCGTTTTTCTAACGGACTCCAACTTTAAAATCGTGCAGTTCAGTATACCAATAAAATTATAAACTATAACCAATAACCGATATGTATTATTAATATTTGTACATTTTATTACAAACAAAGGGAAAGTGGTTAATTCTGGTCTACACGGAGTGATTAATTTCTGATGACTCGTGACAGTTGTGAAACTCCCTGTACCGTGGTAGCAACTATATCATGAATTTATTATTATTATCGAGTAGCTAGGGCGAATTACTAATGTAGTAGGAAACTGCATTGGACCGTCATGAGAGCTGCGGTCAGACTATCACGCGTGCACGATAGTAGAGAGCAAATATTATCTCGAGAGAAACGAAAGTGATGGAAACACAGTGTGGATACGTTTTATCGTTCTGTGTACATATTACTGTCGTGACGCCACTTTCACCGACATTACTTTTTTTATTCAAAGAATACTACTGAAATTCATATTTTACTATCATTACGCGTGGAAGCTATTGTCTCTTGTGTTTGTTAACTATCGTGTCCTGTCGCAGGATCAACTATCACACAGCAACAACCATAGTCGTGTGGACCAGGCTTATGTATTATAGCAACTATATGTACTCAGTAAAAAAAAAACCAAACAAAACAAAAACGTGGAAAATTATGCGCGGTTTTGATCGTGCTTTTACCCGACAGAGAAAGACTAATATCGATATTAATAATATTAGTGTAGACGGAAGAAAATTACAATATATTATAATTACGTATATATTATCAAACAAAACGATATATCAATACGTCGTATAATTTTAACCGAACAATATGAAACAGCAATTATAAAATATAATATATTGCTGCAGAGGACATTAACCGCGAACCATAATATTACATTATCCTTCAAATTATGCAGCTAGAAATGTGTTAGATGAATAATTTGTTGTGTCCATCACCGCACATTAATTAAAATAAAGGAGAGCTTCGAAAATAATAATTACTATTAGTTTTCGAGTTTCGTGCACAATACACGATTATATATAGCTAGATATCGAAAATGCGATTTTAAAATGTTCTTTCGGGAGTAATCCCTACAAAAAATGTTTAAAAATCTACACTCAAACGTCCTATTGTCTGTAAATAACTTATAAATTAATTTCAAAAAAGGCTGTCCTAGGACAATGGGTACGGGTGCAACCACTGTAGTAGATGGGAAGTTGGGAAAGTAAAATACAGAAAGGAATTGAATGTATATCTGTAAGCAACGATAAACCTTTGCTAACGAAAAAACGATTCTGAGTGGACTTCAGTTAACAATGTTTTGTCAACTTGTTTTATACATATTTTTTTTATAATATTTGTTTAATATTAATCCGATTTTCCCGTTTTTCTTACGTATGTCCGGTTTTTCACATTTGCTGAGAAAACTGAAAATGACCTACCTTAAGTACCTTTCCAGTCAGATTTCCTTTTAGAAAAATTGCCATCATTATAAATTGGAGCAAAATTGCTGTTAGAAAATTTGTACACAGGAAAAAAAAGGCTGAAATATTTTTCAACTAATACCTACATTTCGTATATTTCCTCAGTTTGTTTTCGATATTTTACATTTCCTGGGAAAACTCCTGGGGAAATCGAAAAATGACCTCCTTAAAGTACCTCCCGACACCGATTTCCTTTTTGAAAAAGGTAATATACTTAAAAATCAGAGTAGATCTCTGGTAGAAAAGGTGTTCTTAGAAAAAAAAATAAACATCTTTGTAAAACCATAAACTTCTTCGCACCACTTAGAATCTAAAAGGATAATAGATACTGCTGGCACAAAAAAAAAAAAATAAAATAAAATAAAATAAATCCTAGTAAAACCACCACAAACTCGCATCGTTCAGAATCTAAAGCTATATTGCAAACTAAAAAAAAAAGAAAAAAAACCCGCTGCGTAAAAAGTAAACAAAAATGATTGAGATAAGTCCGTTATTTGTATGTAAAAATTATGTATCTTAAATACCGAAATGCGTATAAATAAGTAATAGGTATTGTATAACAACGTTGCAAAAACTCGACGAATTAATTCGAGATTCGAACCCGTGACCGGGGGGGCCGCACACTATGTGAACGCCTCTGCGCCAACGTGTCTACAATTATCAACGAACATTTTTCAGCGTATCTAACCAGTGGCACAGACTACTCTGGTCTTTGCAATACACCGTAAAATGATGACTGACACTAACCAGACTCAGTCGCGGTGCCGGTGGAACGATTTAGGAAACCTGGTGCAAATTCAGCATTTTGTTTATTAACGCCTCAATATTAAACTTGAAAAGAAGAAAACGGACATTCAGCACCTCAGGCTAGCGTTGTTCGATTATTATGGGATCTCACTTGAACACCAATGAGTTAGTCGACTAATATTTTGTGAGGCATTTTGCTGGATAATGGAAGGTACAACAAAAGGGCAACTGTTCGACAGTGGTCGAATAATCCGTTGAAAAATACGCTGTTGCAAAATAGAAACATGATGGATACAATGTATCTCCAGTTTCTTCTAGAACGCGCTGTTACATGATTGAAGACTGTACAAAGTGATAGTGGCCCGCTAGGGCCTGCAAAAATTGCCGAAGCGGACAGTGTTTCATGTCCACATGGCGGGGTATTGGTTAAAGTTTTCAACTAGCAATAATCGCACCTCGGATAAACCTCATTGGTTACGATATCGCCACTGCGCAAAGCTAAAGATTCGGACGGACGCGGCCACTATATAAGCTTGTCGTCGCTCGGTCGTTGGTAGCAGTATGCCCGTTGGCCCGACTCGTAAATTCAACTGCCGCGTCCGTCGTACCCGGTTTTCGGACGCGCAGCTGAACGAAAACCAACGGGCCCGACGGCGGAACGTCGGTCCGACATCACGGGTGTCGCGTTTTGCCGCCGACGGGCCTTGTCGTCCGCGTACTGGGCCGTCGCCGCAAACGGTTCCGGTCAGTCGCGACATCTAGCGGCTCAAATCACACGCGCGAAAACAACCGTCGTACCGCCGCGCCGCAATATAATAAATTCGTATGTTTCGCCGCCTCCTGGCCGTCGACCGCGCAAACGACTCGGGTTTTCCACTATTATCTCTGTCGCGTTGTTTGACACGCGATAATAATCTTCATAGGTACCTACTTTTATTGACGTTCGCTAAACTCAAAATGTAAAACAGGACGTATACGGGTCCGTGTAAACGCGGAACGTTCGTACAATAATATTATCTTGTACGGTCCCCGTGTCTGAACAAAATATCTACGAGTTAAAGAGAAAAAAAAAAACCACGGAACTCTCGTCGAATACGTCATAATAGTGGCTAGGTACCCACGGAACAGGGATGTACGATATTATCATTTCGACGGATATAAGCGACGGCCGAATGAATAAAACGCGCATAAATCCGGTAGGTGGGTGCCTATCCGGGGGACGTAATATTACGCCGTCGTCGAATGTGTGGTTCAGGTAGGTACGTATGGAAACGGCGAACGTCGAAAACGATTATTACGCGAAACGGTGTGGGTACGAGACCGCATCCATTCGTTCCGAGTGAGTAGTGAACGTAGCGAGCAGTAGTTGTAAATATTGTTTAACGGCGAGACTAAAAACCGCAAGCTGTTCGATGGCGTCCGGACATAAATATTTCCAAGTAGGTAGGTAAAACATTTAGCCGGTCCGAAGAAAAATAATAACACCACGAAGTGATATTTAGCGGTTTTGTTTTTTTTTTCCAGGCGGCTTTTGAATGTAGATTACTTTTTTTTTTTCTGTAAATTGCAAGTTCCGCCTTGAATCGACCAGAAAAACCGTCCGCAATCCTGAAACGGCAGAAGTAGACTGCCGGTCGTCACTGCGGATTGATGTTTTCGTATTTTTTTGTAAAGTTTAAATTATTGTTGCTGAATGCTGGATTGAACTTCGGAACCATACGGTATTTTCCGGCAGGTTCTCCTGGAAGTTCGCGATTATTTCGCGTGCAGAGCGAAGGATATCCCGAAATAAATTTCAACATCAATTGGGAAGTACAGAGGAATATAATAATGGTCAGTTCGGGGCGGGCGCACAAAAAGTAGGTACTTTTCTCGGATTTTGGATTCCGACTTTCTGAGTACAAACTTTATTTTTGACTTGATTTTATTTCCCCTCGGAAAACACTTCGAAATTGTACGATTTCGATTTTGAGCGTATCTGTTGGTTTTGCTATGACGTGTGTTTTTTTTTTCTACGGCGTTACGATTTCATATTGTTTTACATTTTTACGGGTCTATGTATACTACCAAAAATCTTGTTCCGATCAAACACCGACAAGGGACCGGTTTTGTTTTTTATATCGCATTCGGGGTCCGGTCGGCGAGTAATAATAAGGTAATCGTTTTTCGATTTTCCGTATAGTTTTCTCGATAATTGCGCAAAGAACGGAAAACCCGTATTTTTTAATTTTTATTCAAAACCGTTTTTCGTCGATTAATCTTTATTGTTGTATTGTTTTTATAACGTCGTAATAACTATAATAGCATAATAATATTATTTCAACGCCAATCGGAAATTATTAGGAATTGTCAGTTTCGGACGGGCGCGCCACGAAAATAACGCGAAAAATATTTTACCGAATTCTTGGTTCTGACTTTCTGAGTATAGCGAAGAAGCTCTTAATTTTAAAAAGATGTGTTTGTTCACGTCATACATTAAAAGATGCGGATATTTCGTTTGGTGATATTTTATTTAAATCATTTTTTTTTTTAATTTCAAATCCTTTTCATTATACTTTGCTAAATCTCTTTTTTTGGTTAGACAGATGCTCCAATTTTGTTGCGCAGTAAGTACCTCAAACATGATACGACATTTTTGTCCGACGGGACTTTATTTGAAACATTTTTCGCAATTTGTCTCTTAAGTACTTGTTGTTTGATTTTTGTCAATTCCCAGTTTATCGTGACAACAAAGGTAAAAACACACAAAATTGTAATTTCATTTCGCAATGTCAATAATAAGTGCATACCTAATATGTGTAGTATGCAAATGAATCGCTCTGTATATATCTTACCGTCTCAACTATACGCACCTACAACAGTGGCCTGCCCGTGAGTAGCATCGAATTCGATAGTGTTTTTTACGAATCGGTCACTCGTATTTATTTGCTGAGAAAAGGTATCTTTGAAATACCTATGCTATTTTTTTCAAAACACTTTCTAATATTGGCGAACGTAGTTATTGATTTTTTCGAATTTGTGTCGTTTTATGTTTTTTCCCGGTGGATTTCACACTATCGCCGTATTGCTGGGTATCGTTAATATACATATTTGATATTGACAACGCTATGGGCGAAGTACAAAACCGAGTTGAAGGCCGACGAGTGCCCCTTTAGATTAGTTAATATTTTGAACACCAGAGGGCGTATTGGATTTTCGGAATACGTTTCGTGGGTACGGGATTTGTGGTTATTTTTTATAAACGTAATACAAGTCGAAATTTAATAATTTTAGAATTACAGAACACAATATAACATTGGCGGTAGCTGAATAATTAAAATTTTAATATTCGAGATTATACGACCACGGCATTACAATATTTTGTTTACTAAATATTTGGAACAACAATACGAATAGGTATAATAATACAACAAAATAACTAATTTAGAAGTGTAATTAAACTATATTATTCAATTTTGTGTTACAATTTTGAATTTAGCTAACTCTGCCGGATACCAGCAATATTTAAATAATTAGGTATAAGTAATTTTAACGACATTTATGAAAGAAAAAATGTATATATCCAGTAAAAATTATTTTAATCAATTTACAAACACATTTATAATAATGTCACGAGTATTACAAGTTGATATTATGTGTATCATAGATTAAATATTTTAGTTTATATATTAAATAAACAAAAATGTTTATAGCGGATAAAAACCACATTCATGAAGAACGTGCCCCCTACAAAATAGAAATAAAAAAGTGATTTTAGAATATTTTTATTAAAAATTAAGGACTACAAAATATTCTTTAGAGTATGCCATAATATTGATTCTCAATACTTACTAGAACGAGAAAGTGGATGTTCCAGATTAAAAAACAATCTTCTTTTACAGTTGTTTTAAAGTATCTATAGTAAAACGTTTTCAAATTCTATCATAGAAATATACAATTATTAGACAATGCAAATCGCCAGCTATGAATAGAAACATTTTAACATATTTTAAAGTAGGAAAAATATACGCCGTTTACTTAGTTTTGATCTTTAAAAAAATGCTGGGTACCGTAGGTGGGCCACTTTTGTAGATATGATATTCGGGAAGTATATGGTAATTCAGTTTACATGCTGAAAGCAATGAAATATGCAGATTATGCGTATTCCGTAATAAAATAATATTATCACCCGTGGCTTTTTTTTTTCTTGTAGCCAAGGTAACCGAGGAATATTAACAAAAATAAAACCAATGCATTGTTGTTTATTATCAGGTTTTTAATTATATAGAAAATCTGCGAGGAATCCTGAAAAATATTTCAAAAAGAGTACCCCACTATCGGGTGAAAAACCTGCTTCTAAAAGAAGGTACCTACGGCATAGAGAACATTTTTACATATTTTCACTAATCGCAAACGTGTTTTCCGAGAGCAAAATTGCACATCAAATATTAGTAAAACTAGCAGGTAGATTCTTCGTTACATTCATTGTCATAATGTCGTCTGTTATAAATTGTAACACTGTAACACAGAATTATTTACGAAAAGTGAAAATATAAATACTATTTATGTACTTGTTATCTTTAAAACTATAACTTCTACATTTTTATATTGTACGCCATTTTTGTAATTTATTATACAAAATCGTTTTCGGATATTAAAATAAATTTAGGTAACTACATTATTAAATAGTTATTAACTTACCATTGTCGAATAGTTAAATCGTCTACAACTAAAACGAACGAAGACGTCATCAATATTTATGTATATAAAAAAAATGTCACTTTATTTAATTTATCAGTTTTACGTTCGATGATAATAAGTTTTAATTCGCTATGGTAACTGTAAAATATTACATAATTTTGATAATACTTAATATAATATTATTTGGAACACGGATGCGGTGTTAGAAAGGTGAGGTTTGTCCGAAATCGAGAAGACTTTTTGCGGATGCCGGGAAACCGCACCTTTGATGTTTACAATATTTAGGTAGGTACCTACCTATTTGATACTTTGACGTTTTTTAATAAACAGTCACAGTCGGTAGGTACCTACTTAGTTATTTTGTTTAAATTAAATCAAACATATTTTGTTGTGGTTTGAAAAAAATTGATTAGGTAATATATTTACTGGTTAGGTACCTACTGACTGTATTAATTTAAAAGAATCTTAATTCATGTTGTAAATTTACATTAGAACTTAAGTTTTTATATAGGTACAATGTGCTATAAATATATATATATATACATTTTAGATATCTGGTATGGGCAATTTTCTTGGTCATTTCAAATTGGAAATTTAAGTTACCAGTTCAAAAATATTTAAATTCACTTAATAATACAGTGTTTCTTAATACTTTTTGGTTCAGCGCCATTTCATTGAGATAACCGACTGCAACCCCCTCCCAATTTAAGTTAAAAAAATGTTTATATGTAGGTACATGGATAATCAGTATTCTAAATCAAAATAAAAACCTCTAATAAGTGCATAGCAAAAGCCGGTAATCCCACTCAGTTAAGAACCGCTGTTCTAATATAATAATCATTGCAAGTAAGTCCTATGTCATTCACTGGCATTTATTGTACTATTGCATGATACGAGTACTTATGTATACAAATATTTTTCTCATACCAATTTTGATAATATGTTTAGAAAAATAACAATAAACTATAATTTCAACCATGGTTATAGACAAAATACAGAGATATAACTTTATATATAATATAACTCAAACATCCTTAAAATGATATTAATTGCATATTTTACCTTATTAACAGGCTTCTAAAAAACTCAATAAAGTATTTATAGGTATCTTTGATACAGTTATTGGGGCAACCACTAAAAATTGTATGGTGATTTAGGTTGCTTAGCCATTTTGCAGGTAGGCATGTAATTTATCTATACCTATTTTGTTATAAAATGAAGAATTAAAGAACAATAATTAAATAGTTATAAAATAAGTGGGTAGATTATAGGTATAAAAATATTTGATTCAATTAATTTCTTTATTGAAAAATATTAAGACTTAAATTTTTTATATAATAAAATTATTGGTTATGTACTTATTTATACAAATTGCTTATTTAAATACTCATAAAACCAATAGAAATTTAAAATTGACATTAGTCTTTAATTTGATATATTATAATAGGTATAACTTTTTCATATTTATTGATATACAATTTAAAACAGTTATATAATAGTACATACTTATAAAACTAATAGAAGTTAAACATTTAAAGAGAATTAATAACTTTGACTTATTTAGGCTTAGTCGCAAATCTAGAGAGGCACCAAACTATCCCAAACACAAACTATTCAATCACTTCAATCCATAATACTCCGCCTCATAGTCTCTGCACCATGGTATATCACAAACAACACAAAAATCCAAACTGTTGAACAACTAATAAAACAATATTAAAAAAAATTTCACAACAAATTACAACATCACCAAAATTCTCTTATATTCCAGTTATCCTCGTTCACATTACCTGACAACTTCCCCTGTAGTCTCAAAAAACGTTGGTGTCAAGATCTTCTAAACTAATACTAACAATTAAATAATGAGTAATTAATTAAGTCTGAAGGGTTCTTATCATTAAATAATCTACTTTATCATGTCATTCTGTCATTAATACTATCTTTTTTTGTACATATTTTTCATATTTACTTATTGTGTTTTTTCTAATACAGATTGTAAATTTTTATATATATATATAACTAATAACTTCAAATAACTTAAAAAAACAAAAAAAAAAAAAAATAATATTTGGTAATCGTGTATTACCTATGCCTAGGTATTATTTTAGTTTTTAACTATAAACTCAAACTAGTGTTTAAATTAAAGATAATAAAAAAAAAAAAACAATTTAGGTATTCAATTTAAAATCACAGACTTATTGTATGGTTATTAGATAAATTTAGTATTTATATACAAATGAGATTATTTCGAGTATTATTCTTAGCACATATTTGATTGTATGTTTTATTAGTTGATGTTTTTCAACCTTTTTAATTGAAAATATGATTAAATTACTAGTTATCCCGCTTGGATATGGGTATAAAAATCACTTGTGTATTAATTAAGTTTGTTTACAATTAAAAAAATGTTTGCTGTTTTGTATCCTAATTTAAAAAAAATATGACAGCCAGCTAATGTGGCTGGTTAGAAGAAAGAATTACCCTTTCTTTTAACTAATTTTCAAAAATCAAGGATTGAAATTGTTTTAGCGAACATTGTCTATTTGCTAAAAATAAGTACTTTAGAATCGAGAATTATAGGTTTATCCGATATAAAAAAAATATTTAATACTTAAGAGAATGCTACACTCGCATTGACTGTCTCAGTACAACTACCAGGCAATATGTAAAAACAATACTTATACAGACTAAGTAAAATCAGCTTAATTTTGATTTTAGAGTAAAATTACCTATAATGAAATATATAGAGAACAATATTTTGTAGGGAATTTCATAGGTGGTCTTTGAATTATAAACTATTAAAAAAGTTACAGTTATTTAAAAAAAGAAAATAAAAGGTTTTATGCCTTTTATATCAAGCTATATATTATGAATAATACAAAAATGTTATGCCATTTCCTCCAAAATATCATTCTCTATACATTTAATAATAGGTACTATTACTTTAAAATCAAAATTAAGCTAGTTTTACTTGGTCTGTGTAAGCATTGTACTTGCGTATTGTTTGATAGTTGGACTGAGACAGTAGATGCAGCAGTGGCGTCTTCTTAATAATATTCATCTTATTTAGTATTAAATTGCATACTATTTGTATTTCAATATCGTACAACATTCAACACTTTATTCTATTGTATGAAACAGTAACGTTCAAAATTGTTACATTGTATTCATTATTTTAAATTTAAATATTTTAATTATGGATGATTGGGTGTACAATGTTTATACAGTAACATCAGGAGCTATGTCTCATCTAGGATTAATTGAGTAAGAATTCGAAGAAATTCAATCTGATCATTTATGGAAATTAAAATATAGTGAACTTACAGTCATACATTTTTAGAGTTTAATTAATACTGAATACCTGATAATTATAGAAAAAGCAATAAGTATTTCATTACCATTTTCTTTTAAAAATGTCTGCAAATTAGATTTTCCTGTATTAACCAATAAAAAAATAAAAAATTAGAACAACTTTTATCAATTGAACAAGAAATGTGAATATGTTAAAAGTAATGCAATCATAAATCAAAACAAATTGAATTTTATACTAACACGCACACATTTCATAATAACATGAATATACGTTTTATTCATTTTTCAAATTATTTTGTCATTTGTTTATAATAATATTTTATATTTTCATTACTTTTTACTTTATTAACAAAATATTATTATATTCAATACATTAATGGTTTTCTACAATAAAAAGTTTAAGTTTTTACAGCACACTTTTTGAGAAACACTGGTTTAAATCCACCCCCATCTGTAATATTAGTGTTGAATTGGTATACAAAACAATAATAATTATATTTAACTGTAAACAAAGATTACTTAATTGGTTACATAAGGTGACTTTTATACTCAATAATAAAGATGATAACCGGTAATTGAATATTATTTTTAGTTAAGAAAGAACAAAAAACATTAACTATGTATTTATAAAAAGTTTCAGCCTACATTCAGTTAGTATCAGATTATCTCAATTAAACAAAACAGAATCAATCATTCACTGTGAGATTGTTTTGTAATCATAAATAATCACAGGGGACACACATGTCCAACTGCATTAAATGTGAACATCGCAGTTATGTCTTCTTTTTCATTGTCTATGGCTATTTCATAAACATCATTTTCTCTTGGGTTTTGGACAGACTTTGTTTTAGGACCTGTTTCCCTTCCACTGAAAAAAATGTAGTCATTTAAAACATCTATAACATGTTAAATGTATAAATACTGATGAACACTTTAAATCATTTTTTTTTTTTTTTTGCTGATATTTCCACTTGCAGAGGTGACATGATCACACAACTAATAGGATTTTTTCTTAATAAGGTTTTATACTGAAAAATACCTGAAAAAATAAAATAAAGATATTTCACTTTAAGATCTATAAAATATGTTATATATAATACAATTAATTTGTCAAAAAAAAAAAATATATCAAGGTAACATATTAAAAATTTAAACCTAGTAGGTATACCTAATTTTTATAGATAGACAGTTAGGATATTAATTATCAACTATTTGTTTAAATTTAAATTGTTTTAATAAAGTAAGTACTACAGAAAAGTATTAATTACCTATGTAATAATAAATTAATTGAGTGTATTAATTTAAAATTAAAAATACTTAGATTATTCAACTATCAAGGTATTAGACAAATTAATAATAGTATTAAAAATCAAACCATTAAACATTTTTTTGTATGTACATTTAATAAAAAGTACTTAAATAAAGTACATATAAATGTATTATTCTTTGAATTGCATGAAAATTACCTCAAAGGTTTTAACCTACTTATTAGGTAAATTATTCTTGAATGAGGTGATCATCTAAAAATTGTTGGACACTATGTTGCAAATCCATAAGACCATTTTATAAGTATTTATTCTCCATCTTCACTTAATATAAGTACTAGACTTCATGCAATTGTTTTCTGTGTTTAAGTTTTAATCTAAATACATGTCAGACCTTAACACTTCAAATTGTTTAGATTCAGTTTTATTTGGCATACTATTCTCTATAATATTTATTTTATTGCAGCTTGGTCGTCATCAGAGAAACAATCAGACTTTATTGGCATTGCTGTAAAGAAAATTAGTAAGGTAAGTATCGTTTAAATGATTATAACTTTATTATAAATACCTACGTTTTAATATAAAAACAAATAATTTTTGTAGTCAATATCTATAAAATACATTTAAATTATTGATATCGTATGACAATAACTCAAATAGTGTTACAAAACATTTAGTTATTGGAATGATAATTTTATATTAATGAAAATTGTAATGCATAACAAACTAATTTAAAATCTTTTTGACACTTGGAAAAAAATATATCGCTCAACACTGTTTACAGATTAATAAATTATGAATTCGTATATTTAGAGTAGTACATGTTTTGCGAAATTCAATTTTTTACCTTTTTCGCGAGCATCTCATAATAGTCGGAATGTTAATTTTTCAAATATTAAACGTTTTCTTTATCAATCGGTGATTAATGTTGATAATCATTTGGAGGGAAAATTAATCAGCTTAACCAAATGTTAAAAAAAAAAATCACTCATACATCAAACCATAGAGTAATAATAATTAATGATATCTCAGTTCTTTTGGGGTGATAAGATTTTCAAATTCTTAATTTACAGACTATACCTACAATAAATTAATAATTGTTAATTATTATTATTATTTTTTTTTTGCGGTTTTATAGAGACGATAAATTGAAAGCTTGTATATACCTTTACATATACTTACATATTTTCAGTTAGTGTATACTCATAATCGAGGATCGGAACTTAATGCGCTAAAAAATAATAAAATATGTGCATACATACTCACCAAAAAAAAAAAGTTAAATATGCAGTTTTTTTTTTAAACATGTATTTATATGAAAAATTATTATTTTTTAATTAGGTACAAATTTAGTCATAATTTTTAAATTTTTTCCATAATAAACTTCCAAAAATTTCAGAAACTCTACATTTGATAGTTTATTGAATGGTATTATATTAGTCGAAATCATAGATTTGCATAAATCCACGTTAAACTTTGATTTTTTAGACGAGAGCTCATGTATAAATAGTAGTTGGCACATAGTGTCATTCTGATCTTCTTAACGTTTAATAGAACACATACGTTTTAATGTTTTTAAGTGCTGTATTACATTGAATCTATTTATCGAATCGATTGCCGTTTTACAATATTTGCAAAAAAATACCTTAGAATTGATACTGAAAATATTTTCATCAAACTCAGTTACAAACATAATAGGTATGTAAACGACTACTTAACGATGTTTTCTCTTTAGGCATATTAATTTATTTTTCAAATATCGATATAAATTATTATATATTATATGATTTACTAACATATATATGCATTAAAATGCTCAAAGTCTTTAAATATGCAACATAAACTTTTGTATTTAAATTGTATGTACAATGAAACGAATTTGTGTTTCATTAATCAGATTTTTAATATGCAGCTTCCTAAGAAATAAGAAAATGCATAAAGTGCTAGAAAGAGATCAAAGAAATTATACATGTATATGAAAGAGGTAGAGAATAGTTTTAAAAAATCACAAAGCAAAACATGAGATATGGAATGATAAGCAAAATTTGAAGATGTGATAATATAAAATATTAATGTAATATAACTATTATAATAATACTTTAATAATATAATACTTTTCTTTGCGGGTTTTAATAGTACACTGAAAAACAATTTTAAATTTTAAAATTAAGTATTTTTCATGGTATATGATTTGTTCTTCTTAAGTTGTATGCAATCTCTTTCTAATAATGTTGGTATCATAGATTTCTTATTAGGTCTATGGTTGATATACGAAACTCTCTTTTTACGATCAGTCCATTTATTAATATGTCTATGCTATCATTACTGTCTAGTTCTATTATAAGAATTATACGATAAATATGCGACGAGTACTTGTACGCATGCGCAATAGATATCAGTCCCTTTAGCACTCATTAATAATGATGTTTTCAACTCGTAGTACGCGTTTATC